CCTGACAGACAAAATAAACACAATTATTACTGACTTAATAACTATGAAAACTATGGAAGCATTAAAAATTTAGGTTTGTCAGCTAAAACCCATACAATATACATATTATATAATATCCCTAAAAGTGAAATTACGGCTATCTTTTCTACTCATTACCAGTTGTCTCCTTTGGAAAGACTTGGAAAGGTAGCCATAGTTACGTACTACTACTACTACTACTACTACTACTAATAATAATAATAATAATAATTTATTATTTATACCCCACCCTCTGGCTAGGTTTCCCCAGCCACCCTGGGCGGCTTCCAACAAAAGATTAAAAATACATTAAAACATCAGTCATTAAAAACTTAGGGGAGCAAATGGCAATTGTTTAACTGACAATAATGTGAAAAAACATATAAGACAAGTGTGAATGACTGGAAGCCAGTTGTGCAATACAGTGGTACCTCTGGTTATGAACTTAATTTGTTCCAGAGGTCTGTTCTTAACTTGAAACAGTTCTTAACCTGAGGTAATACTTTAGCTAATGGGGCCTCCCGCCACTGGTACACAATTTCTGTTCTCATCCTGAGGTAAAGTTCTTAACCCGAGGTACTACTTCCGGGTTAGCAGAGTCTGTAACCCGAAGTGTTTGCAGCCCGAAGTACCACTGTATATAAAATGTGGATTAGGGATTGTATTGTATGCTAATGTAACGTTTGTAGCATAAGGAAAGATAAAATGTGGCATTTAATTATCACATTAGCTATGAATTCTTATTATGAAATATTTGGGCAGGAGCTGTTTTTTCCAATATTTGGAGGAGCACATGCATATCCATGTTTGATAGATGGATAGATAGATAGGTAGACAAATAGATACTCTTAAAACATGCTTTTATTTCATTATTGTGTACATTAATCCATGTACATTATTGTGTACATACTGCAAAGTCATTAATTTCATTTATGAAATTCCTTAAAGCTCTTTTATGTGGGCTACATAAACTTTCTTCTTCTCTCATATAGTTTTTCAGCTCTCTTAATGCTGTGCCTTAGGAGTGAGATCTGCCTGTTGCGCAGGTCCCATTACTTCAATGGCACTCATGTGGCAGAAATTCCGGGTGGACTGTGCCACAGCCCTAGGCTTTTAGCCTCCCAAGCATAAATCAACTGATCACATGTCATTAGTCAATTTCCTATTCTCCTCAGTGCACCTGCACGGTTCACTATTCACGGAAAGATAAATAAATAATTCCTTACCTAAATGTATTTTTCCCTGGACTAAAACAGAAAGGGCAGGAGAGCTATGCACACCCCACATTTACTTTCTTTTGCATTTTAAAATATTTTGTCACATTTACCGTAAGCTTAGCTGTTGCTTCTAGTTTCCCACCAGCTAAGATCAATTCAAGCTAACAATATTAAAATTTCAGAATAAATAGAAAGCTCTAAAATCTATTTGCATTGAAGCGAATACATTTGTCATCCTGCTCTACCCTACAAGAACGATATAAACAAATTAAGAGGGTGGCCATAAAAAAAGTGAAATGGGTGAAATTAGTGTGAAAAGTTAGTCCTGACCAGGTGGATTTAAATGGGAACTAAGTAAAACTAGTTTACACAAAAGTCTCATTGGCTATCATTTTATCCTGTGGCTGCACACACACATATGGAATTGTGGAAGAGATTAAAACTGAACATCAAACCTGACAGACATTTGCAGGACAGAATCTCCAACAAATATGGCTAGCCTGTTGTGAAGAAACAAACAGGTAAGGATCAAACAGGAAAGGATCAACTACATTTTTTAATGTGAAGCTGAGGCTCCAATACTTTGGCCACCTCATGAGAGGAGAAGACTCCCTGGAAAAGACCCTGATGTTGGGAAAGATGGAGGGCACAAGGAGAAGGGGACGACAGAGGACGAGATGGTTGGACACTGTTCTCGAAGCTACAAACATGAGTCTGACCAAACTGCGGGAGGCAGTGGAAGACAGGAGTGCCTGGCGTGCTCTGGTCCATGGGGTCACGAAGAGTCGGACACGACTAAATGACTAAACAACAACAACATTTTTTTTAAAAAAATCTAGAGAACGGGGGGGGGGGAGTCCTCGATGTTAATGTCAAAGGGGTTTGTTTTATTTTTAGCTGTACAAATGCTAAAACAATAACTGTGAGGTTTATGAAGAATAGTGACTGTTGAATGAATGTAAAAATAGAAAAGGGCCATGTTTTAAAACCGTTGTTGGTGCTTATTTTAGAAGATGACTACACAAAGCAAACCTAAGGAACGGGATTGCATTTCGCATTTTATTGGCATTTGGGGGAACTTTATACGCTGTCTCTGGAAAAATCAGAAAGGGAAGTGGTTGTAAGAAATCCACATAATAATGTATGGGAACGCCAAGTGGGATTTACAAGGGAGTGGACTATGCTGGCATATCAAAGTGCGGCCAGATCACATGATTCACAATTAATAATAGTGAGGTGCTCTTACTGCAAGCCATAGCTCTGTTTTTCTCTCCTTTATTACCCATTCTGTTCTCGCTTAGGCATGAAATCGCTTGTGCTCAGCTACTGATGCAAAATGCATGTTGCTTTTCTGTTGCAAAACCAGGTCTCAAATATTGCTTGTTGCAGCTTTATATGGAAAGGCAAATAAATAGTGTTGCCTGAAAAATCTGATTTGTTTTCTTTAGCTGGGAAATAATACTTCATAGCTGACTGTTATAAGACACCAAGTCATCACTAAAACTTAAGAGTTTCTGTGGCTGAGTTTGGAGGCACATTTTAAGTCTATGGAATGAGCTTACTCGATGTGCTTTTGACTGCGTTCCAATTTTCCAGCTGTGACTCCCAGTAAAGGATGTTTATAGACAACCACTGACAGAAAGGATTTTGTTTGAAAGTCTTTTCTGTTGCATTCCAAAATGCCAGATATCACACGTGTCAGCATAGTGTCGGACCACGTGTTTGGGCAGCCTCTGGCTGAATAATATCGCTCAGCAAAACACACATCCTTATAAAGCAAAAAAATAAATTAAAATGCCAACTTTGTCTAGGAAGTCTGAGCCTCAAAACAAGCATTGGCCAAACCTAACCATTTTGGGTTGGGTTGGTTTTTTTTTAATACTCTTCCATATTTAATTGCAGCATGGTGATTTTGTACAAGAATGACAAAGAACATTTGTATACATGTGGAGAAAAGTAGGAAGGGGAATACAAGTTGTGTAGGAACGAGAAAGAGCACTGGGCTGCCATCACAAATATGCATCTCCCACTATCATTGAAAAGAAACAAAATTCTCTATTATGAAACTGGAATTTCAAAACAATCCTACTTCCTTCAATAAGTTAATGTTCCTGGAAGTGATATTCCATTTCATCCTCAGAACTAATTTATGAATAGTTTAGGCTGCAATCCTAATCCCAAACATAATTACCTGGGAGTAAGGCCCACTGAATGCAGAGGGACTTACTCCTGATTAAGCATAGCTAGGATTGTAACCTATGGCTTAATACTTGACCCAAAGTTAAGCAGCTGGCTTAAGAATGAAAGAACAGCCTGCTGGATCAGGCCAATGACCCATCTAGTCCAGCAGCTTGTTTCATGGTGCCCAACCAGATGCGCGTGGAGAAACTGCAAGCAGCACCCAAGGAGACAGCAATCTCCCTTCCTGAGGTTTCCAGCAACTGGTATTCAGAAGCACTACTGTCTCCAACCATTATGACTAGTAGCCATCATGACTAGTAACCATCAATAGCCTTTTCCTACATGATTTTGTCTAATCCTCTTTTAAAGTCATCTCAGTTAGTGGTCACCACTGTCCCCTGTGGGAGTGAGTTCCATGGGCTGCATAAGCATAATGAATAACAGTGCAATCCTATCCATTTTTGATAGGGCTTATTCCCAGGTAAGTCTGTCCAAGTCTTTCCAGGGCAAATCAAACATTCTATGTACCACAACACACTGATACAAATTACCACCCATTTTAAAGACATAGAAGAGGAGTTTTGGAGACTATTGGATGGTAGGGGGAAGAGTTTGGATGTTTGAAACTAGCCTATGCCTTTTTATGAAATTCTATTTTTGCAGGCGGAAACACACTTAGTCTTGCAGAAGGGGAGATAGTAAATTACTATCATTTCATAATGTTATAGGCCCTGGCTTTAGGGGACAATTCTCAATCATCAAAACTATGGAATGTGATGTGAATCAAGAACTCTGTGACATGAAGGCTGCAATCTTATACCCCCTTAGCTGAGAATGCACTCCTTTGAACTCAGTGAGACTTACTTCTTAGTAAACACATATAGGATTGCCCAGTCAGTGACTTTTCTGAGAATCCTCCAAGAACAAAGGCAAATGTTAAACACAAGAAAATTGCAACCCAAAAAGGGGGGGGGGATAGGGTTAGAAATATTCAATTCAGAGTCGCCAGTATTAAAACCTCCTGCATTCGTCCAAATAGTACAATCCTAATTGTACACGCTTATACATAATTACGTGTGAGAGAGAAACCCAAAGTTTGCACTGTACTCTGAATGTCAGACTTTTTTGTGAAGAAAATTCAATCATTTGTGCTAGAAATTCAGAATGCAGTGTCAAAATGAATGTGGAGATCCCAAATATTTTAAAGAAGCCAGGAAGTAACAGAATGTGTCTTGTTTTTTCAGAGGGCCCAAAATTTAGCACCATGGAAACCTGTGGTCCTCTAGAGTATGTTGGACACCCATCATCTCTGATCATTGGCCATGGTGGAGCTGGGGCTGATGGGACTTGGAGTCCAACAACATCTGGAGAGTCTCAGGTTTCCCATCCTGGGTCTAGAGCAACTTCCAACCAACAACAAAGTATGGCTGCAGCATTAGGATCTAAGATACTGCTAAGACAGGTGACACAGGCAGTTGTCATCCACATTGGCCTGGTTTGATCATCACACTAAGCCAAATCTTAAATACATGGGTGTGCAGGCTCTGGGAGAGAGGCTTACAACATCTCTGCTCCTTCCTGGTTGCTCTTGCATAGCTCAGTCGGTAGAGCGTGAGACTCTTAATCTCTGGGTTTGGGGTTAGAGCCCCATGTTGGGCAAAAGATTCCTGCATTGCAGGGAGTTGGACTAGATGACCCTTGTGGTCCCTTCCAACTGTGCAATTCTATGATTCTGCTGCTGTGCTTGACACAGGTCCTAGTGGTGTTCTCCTTGCCCCTCTCCTTTCCCAGGGAAAACCCACTCTTTAGCTCTAAATTGGAACAAACAGCAATCCACAGAAAACCCAAATTACTGTTTGCACTGACTGAGCACTTAAGAATGGTTTTCCCCAGGGGGAAAGCAGCAGTGCAAGAGGAAGTGTGAATAAACCCTAATACATGGCTTTGCTTAATACGTTCTCCAAACCCAGCTCTCCTGTACAAGATATGAGCCATAAACCATAGGATAAACCTTGGTTATGGCTTATCGCCAGTATGAATAGAGCTAAACCATGAGTCCAGGGTTTGGATGACACACTAAGCTAGACCATGGTTTCGCTTCACTTACCATTGCAATCTTCTCTCATGGAGCCTGCATGCTTACATGTTTTCTTTAAGTCGTGGTTTGACTTAGCATGGTGTGCCAACCAAACCCTTATTTCCATACAGACAAGGTATGTCCATATATCCACAGTGTGTTTCCATTACCTGGTAATGTGATGTTTGCCCTCATTCAACAATCCCATGATTCCTTGCTGCAATGTCTAAGACATGGAATTTTAATTATTAGCACCCAGTATTGTAACAGCAAGACACAGCAGCCACTTAGACTTAGTTTAGGAGCACAGCAAGCACAAGCTAGCTGGCATTCTGGAGTCTTTATTTAAGGATATAGGTTTTTGTGGAATCTTCTTTGGCAGTGAAAAATGCTTTAGAGCCAGATCTTCATTGCCATGCCTTAAGAGATGTACCATTTGTGGCAACCAATTTACAGCATAGAATCCTAAAATGCATTTTCAGCCTCATAAATAAAGAAAAGTACCTCTCATTTGTACGTCTGCTATTTCAGAAGCTGACCACCTGAATTATGATCCAGCCAGCAGTGGCTTCCTAAATAAGATGGCCAGTCCATTATTGTATAGTACGCATATAATTATGGGCAGCAAATTTGTTTTGACAACACTGACTGCTCTGGCCTGGGTAAGCCTTCTCCAGAATCTCTGTGTGCTATGCTTCTGACAATCTCTAGAATTTACTGTCTGATAGCCTTTCTAGTGCTACACAGTGAGACTGAACAGAAATTGAATTCCTGGTAGGCCGAAGAAAGGTAACAGCTGGATCAGAGTCAAAGGAATCAATGGAGCACACCAAAGAAAATGGTTTTATTTCCCTTCCTTCAGAAAAGAAAATAATAAAAAAGAAAAGAAAAAGCTCTTAAATGCAAAGGTGGATCCTAGAGTCCAAGATCCAAGGTCTACCAAAATTCTGTTGAAAAAATTAAGGCTGCTTTCCTATACACACTTACCAGGGATTCTAAATGAAGCTTAAGTAAACTCAGTGGGGCTTCTAAGTAGATATCTTTAGGACTGTGCTGCAAAAGGATTTGTTTGTTGCTCTGGACTCTCATGTTAATAAGTTTCCCTGTCACCCAGCCTTCCTCCTTCCAGATGTTTCAGACTACAGCTTCCATCACTCCCATCCAGCATGAGCAATGGCAGAGGACAATGGGATTTGTAGTCCAAATGATCTGAAAGGCACCAGGTTGGGGGGAGGGGTTTGCAGCAACTTACAAAAATATCTGAATCTTCCACTAAAAGCACCTTGACATGGCTTGACTGGGAGATGGGGGGGCAGGGTTGGATCAGAGGAAAGTCTGTCGATTTGGCCAGCATTGTCACCAGGCAGGCAAGCACGACTTCTTTGACGAAAATCAAAGAAGAGGCTTTAGAAAAGCAGCTAACCAAAGGGACTAGAGCCAAGGAGCTCCTCCAAATGTGATGAGCTGTCGACCAGCCATCAAGAAACCTCTTCCTGCTTCCTTTTATAGAAACTGCTGAGTATCTGGAGCCAAAGAAAACAGGGCAGTTCAAGCAAGCTGAAATGTCTCAGGGAAGAATTTTCCGAGAAATTTTGGGAAATTTTCTTAGTCAAGTTCCTCCTGAAATGTTGGGAGAATTTCCATCTTCCTCTGAAGAATAGTTAGGGGAATGGCCTCTCCAGCTGAAATCAGGGTGAAAGCTTGAGAACTAATTACTGATGGAAGAAACAAGTTTGGCCTGTTGCTAAGCATTACCTTCTTATGGGAAGATCTGGCCTTTATTGATCCTCACCTGGGAGGAGAGGAAGTCCTGAAAATGAAAGACACGTATTTGGGGTTGGCCACTAGTTGCTGCAGCAGGGCTCCTGTGCTTTTGATAGTGGCTTGCCCGACTGCGATGTGGCAGGTGGTCCTGCTGGCACTAGGCTGGAAAACCACCACCAGTTCCAGAGCTAACTGCAAAAAGAGCTTGAATGGGTGCAGGAGACTGCTGGGTACAGTGAGTTGGTCATACCCCATGGAAGCTCAGCTGGTAGCATCCTAGTTACTGCTGCTTGTGGGGTGAGCCTCCTTTGCAGTGTATTGTGCGTCCTGTGGCAGCTGCCTTCGGGAAGCAAGTGAAGATACAGAGAGTAAAAAGAAAATCCAGAAGCGAAAACAAGTATCACTGGACCTGGATGCATAGAAGGTGTTAAGCTTTTGGGTGGTTTTTGTGTATGTTTTTTTTAAGGAAAAATCAATCAATTGAATTAAATGGGAGGGAAATTCATTGCACCAAGTTTGGGGCCCATTAATGGACGGGTGGAGGATATGGCATAGGTTTGCTCATCCTCTATGCTTGCTGCATCCCACCCATGGCTCCACCCTGTTTTAGCCATTGCGCCATCGGAGAAAGTTCCCATATACACAACTGAGGGACCTAGATTGGCAGCAGATCTTGCATTTCATCACTACATCACCTCCCCTATTACATGAAGCCACACATCAGCCATGGATCAGAAGTCATAGATCAGATTGTGTCATAAATCAACAACAACTTGTAAACTTAAGCAGTGAAAGCTATACAAAGAGAGAGATGGTAGCAGGCTCCCTTAGCTAGGTCTGTAAAAGTTTTGAAGGTAGAAACCTGGCAGAGCTTTTCATTGTATATAATTATAAGAACACGGTGGATTGTCTTCTCTACTGTGTATCTCCTCGGTGGCACTTTCAACCAGTTCAGTTCATTCAGGTCAGTGAAGCTCAGCTGCATTTAACTGCCAGGAATTGAAAACTCCTCCGGTCCTGTGCCAAGGGAAAAATCATTAGAAGATGACTGGCATGAGCTGGAACAACCTATGACTCAGCTAGTACAGAGGAGCAAGGAAACTGTGCGTAGTGCAGCATTGGTTGCTTGGTTTCTAGGAGGCTTGAAGGGTATCTCGGGTGAAGTGCAACTGCCAATTTGCTGCTTCTGTGATAAGAGGTCCCTGAGCATCCTCTGCCACATTTAAAACAGGAACAGGAACTGTTAGGAAGCTGCCACATACTGAGTCAGACCACTGGTCCGTCTAGCTTGCTGTTGTGATCCCTGACAGACAGCAATTCTTTCACAAAGGCTCCTTTCCCAGCAGCTACATTCCTCTGCAGGACACATGGAGCCCAAGCAATTGCAGTGTTTGCAATGCATGTGGTATATTTTGCATAAAGAGGACAGTTTTCTTTTGAGAGACAAAAACGGCCAATTGATCACAGCTAACAACTGAGTGATGTGGTTTTGGACTGCGTGCCAAACTACAATTTCATCCCAAGCCATCTTCCAAAGAAAATCCCAGCCTTTATTGTGCACTACCAGCTTTTCTCTGGTACTGTTCTCTAATTAAAGCGGCCTTTACGAGCTGCTTTTCCAATAACAGAAAACAGCCATTTGGATATCCAGCATATATATATATATATATATAGAGAGAGAGAGAGAGAGAGAGAGAATAGGAGTGTAGGTGTGGAAGGCTGCAAGTCTTTACTTTAGATTTCCTCCCAATATATTTTTTTTATGTCAGAGAACTAATATTAAAAAGTGTTTTTTTGAAATAAAAAAGGAGAGAAGTATATCATCATTGTCTTCATCATCTTCATGATTGCTATTATTACTGTTAGTAATTACCCACCCTTCACCAGCTCTGAAGCCAAGTGAGGATTCCCAGGTAAGATCCTCCCTCTATTGTGTGGGCAGGTAATCCCTCCCCCTACCTGGCCTGGTCTCTTTGGCAACGCTTCCCCCAGGTGGGATTGGACAACTGACTGAGGTAGGCAGCGACCTCCAGGTATCCCACCTGAGAGAAGGCAAAGCCAAGCCTATGCTGATGGGGCCGCTCCAGATCCAAAGCTGCGCGCATCCACGCAAAGGGCACCCCCCGTTTTAAGCGGGGAGCGGTCATTGTCTTCATCATCTTCATGATTGCTATTATTACTGTTAGTAATTACCCACCCTTCACCAGCAGGGCAGGTTACAACCATTTAAAATTCAGATTTAAAACCAGTTAAAACATATGTATGACATTCCAAGAATACAGTGGGTCATGCAAACACACATACTTCAGCTGAACTCCTGTCTCCTAGTTCATGTAAAAGTTTTGTCAGAAGAGTGGGGTGGAACCGGGACATTAGTTTCCACCAGGCAGGTTGCTGTTGCTTACCAGGAGGAGGAAGGCTGAAGCTCCAACAAAGCTGGCATAGTGCAAATGCACTGGCAGGAACACTGGATTGGCTTTACTGGTACCGTCGCACCGTGTCAACCTCCCCATCCGCTCCTGTCACAGGCAATTTTCCTCTGAATACCAATTGCTGGGAATGGCAGGAGGGGAGAGTGTGCTTGTGCTCAAACCCTGCTTGTAGGCTGGGCAAGATGGGCTATTGGCCTGATCCAGAAGGCTCTTCTTGTGTTCTTAAAAACAATACATGCTTAGTGGCTACAGATGCTGAGTTGATGAGACAGAAGAACAAGTGTGGGGTGGAATGGAGTCTCTTGGAGGCGGGCATGGCTGGCTGGCTGGCTGGAGCCCTGATGTGATGGCCTGGGAATTGGATTCGGATGCTGAACCTGAGGAAT